GCAGGTAGCTGAAGTCGTCGAAGTGGTCGATGACGTCGACGAAGTAGGAGTCTAGTCGATGTCGAAGCAGAGCTGCAAAACGTTGACATTCTGAATAAGCTGATGATGGAGTACCTGAAGGTGTGAGTCAATAGGGAGAAGGTAGGGGATACGAGTGTCAGTCGTTGAGACACTGAGGGCGGCGACGAGTGCGCTGTGGACGCGCGGAGGCGTTGGTTTGCTGTTGAAGAACGACCTCAGAGGGAGTGGGCTCGTCCTCAGCAATCTCCTCAGCCGGAGGAGGAGGAAGAAGGTCAGTCGGTTGAGTAGGAGCAGATGTCTCAACACGACGAGCACGACCATATGCACGAACCAACATTCGGGCGCGCTCCAAGTGCTTGAGGGGCTCCCAGGTAGCCTCCTCATCAAGATAGCTCTTCCAACGTACAAGGTACTGGATGCGTGGAGGGGTGTCGTCGGTAACTCGGCGAGATACGATGTCGGAAATTATGAACTCCTCGTGACCGTCCACCATGATAGGTGGAGGGCGCTCATAAGGACGCCCGACGAAGCGCTTGGACGGTCTGCGATAAGGACGCAACAAGGAGACGTGGTAAACATCGTGTACGTGAGCCTGTCGAAGGTAATTAGGTAGCTTCACACAGAAGATGATCGGACTAGCGATAGTATCAGAACCGTCGGATTGAAGGATGCGACATGGATCGAAGAAGCGACGTCGAAACTTGGGACGCGTATCCGCTTCAAGTTGCAATTGGCGTGCATCGACGAGCACATCGTCGCTGACTTTGAATGGATGATCCATACGTGATCGATTTGCTCGTGCGACCATGCGAGTCTGGGAGTCGGCGAGACTCTCGCGTGCGCGCTTCATAATCGCCGCCATGTGAGTGATCTAGTTGTCAAGTGGAGAATTAGTGTCTGGGCGCAACCGCGACGGTTATAGGAAGTCCGCGGGTACGCGTGGGTGGTAGTCGAGGTGGCAATAGAATGGCGACATCCCCGTGGCAGGCGAAACGGTGTGGTTGTATGCAATCTCGACGACCATTCGTCTGAGGGTCGTAAGACGATGAGAAGCGGAGCTAGGATCCATTCACCTCGTGTAGGCGTCGCCGGAATGTGCCGGTAAAGTGCGGATCACGGTCGGAGATGATGCTTTGAGGTAAGCCGTGATCTCTCACAACTCGGTCAAAGATGATGTCGGCGACCTCACGAGCGTTATTGCAATAGTGGCACGGGACAAAGCGTGCACGCTTCGCGAAGTGATCGACGATGACCAAAATAGCATCATGACCACGCTAAGTGGGTGGAAAAAGGGGACCAACGAAATCCATCGAGATGGATTGCCAACGACCATTAGGTATGGGTAGGGGTTGAAGTAACCCATAAGGAAGGTGGTTTGCACTGTTCACCGATGTAGGCTTTGACGAAGTCCTTGGACTTCGGCCAGATGTATAGGCGCCAAACACGAGCCAACATCTTGTGGAAGCCCATATGACCGGCAACTGCCTGGTCATGGAACTCTGTTACAGCTTGGACACGGAGTTGTTCGGTGTACATGGTTCTAGCTGCCCAGGTCTGCCATGCCAGTACACGAGGCCGTTCTCACCGAGTGAGTATGAGGGAATGGTCTTGCCAGTCCGCAGTGTCACGTGGATGACACAATAATTTGGGTAGTGGCGGTACTGAGTGCAATATGCGCCGATCATCGATTGATCAACAATGGTGATGGAGATGGCAGCAAGATGAATGTGTTTCTGATTGTGATCAGGATGGCGGGACAAGGCATCGGCGATGCGGGTTGTTTCACCCTTGATGGGCTGAGTGGTGAAACTGAACTCGGATAAATCATGCCACCAACGTGCTTGGCGAGGGGAAAGCTTGGGCTTCGTGAGGAAAGCCTGGACAACTGAGGTGTTCGTGCGCACCGTGAAGGGCGCTCCGTTCAGATAATGACGCCAATGCCGGGTATCATAAACTATTGCGAGAACCTCACGTTCATCGGTAGTGTAGTTCATCTCGGCAAGCAATAGCGGACAGGAGTAAAAAGCACTACCTGTTTACAACATGCATGATGTGCTTGACCAACCTAAGACCTAGGATGACTAGCAGCAAATTCACGGAGATAAGACTAACGAACATTCAAGCAGATTTGGCAACATACAAGTTTGGGGTTAAAAGGTTTTCCCCTGCAATTACTTCCGTGAGTATTCTCCACTATAGTTTGCTCAAGTTGCGGTCGCCATCTTCGTCGGGCTAACCTTAGTACACCGGTCACTGTCTCCTCGCCCGTGGGCCCTGCACTTTAAACGCTGGATCGTCACTTGTGCGGCCATCCAGAGAGTCTTCTCCAATACCGATTGCTTTGAAACCAACCATGCACAACTTTTTGCTCTAAATTCACACCATGGGAAGCATACAACTTTTATGCAAAACAACTCGATTACCAAAATTCTGTGTACGTGCTGGACGGCTATGGCCACCAGCCGTACTATCTCTCACTCTTTTCTCCTTTCTCTCACTCTTTCCTCTCACTCTTTTCTGCCGCTCTTTTCTTTCTCACTCTTTTCTCTCTCTTCTTTCTCACACTTCTCTATTTCCTGTCTCTATCGTTGGCCTTACGCTCTCTGAATACCTCTCGACCAATCAGCGCAATTACCAAATTTTTCTCTGTGCATGCTGGACGGCTATGGCCATCAGCCGTTCTCTCTCTCATTTTTCTTGGTGTTCTATTTCATGCTTCTCTCTCTTTTCGCTTTTCTTTCTTTTCTCTCTCTCTCTTCTCTCTCTTCTCTCTCTCTTCTCTCTCTTCTCTCTCTTCTCTCTTCTCTCTTCTCTCTCTCTTCTCTCTCTTCTCTCTCTTCTGTCTCTACTATCAGCCTCACGCTCTCTGAATACCTCTCGATGTCATTCGCTCACTCTCACTTGACCCAGCTATGGCTACAACACCCCTTGCCATTGACTACTCCCTATGGCAGCGCCCAAGAGTGTATCCCAAAGTGGCGCACTAGCGCTTCCACCTGGTCATGCAAGTGGATATGTGTTGACGACCTCAACTAGTCTTTTGTACCCGATGATTCATCTTCCAGACCTCCTCTACCGGCTATGGGCCGGTCCCTATGGCAATGTTTGTCGCTTCTGGAAGTTCCCCGACTTTCCTGGGACTTTGCTGCTGACTAGACTGACTGACAAAAAGGGACTACTAATACCGACTTTTCCTACGGATACCCACTAGAATTTTGTACGTAGGCCTACTGATACTGACCTACCTGGGGCATGAGAATATGGTACAAGCGATTGGGACTGGGACTGGAACTAGGAACGGGACCAGGACCTGAACCAGGGCTTGTGGCGGTGAAGTCCTTTCAGTATTTCCCTTTCTTTTT